CTCACCCTCAGTGTCTCACCTGTGGTCCGCTGCTTCCTCCCTACCTGTGGGACAGCGAACCTCGGCTCCTCCCTCCAGAAGGGGGATGAGAAAGCGGGCGGGGCGACCACCGACCCGTTCGGCATCGGAAAGAAATGACAGGAAACAGCTGTCTATGACATCATCATCACCGTCATCGTCACGCCTGCAGCAGACTACGACTCCCAGGATGCATCTTGGCCAGAAACATCCAATCACAGAGCTCCACGTTCACTTTCTGAAGCTAAAGATCAGATTGAAAAATCACTTTTAAATTCAGTCACTTTTGGATGAATTCAGTTACCATGGCGATGCGTTTGGTTCTCCACCACTCAGCTGAGGCTCATGGGTATTGTAGTATTTAGAGTGTAATTACAACTGTTCAGGGAACAAACGTTGGTTAAACGGAACATTTGAGACGTGAACACAGAATCATTTGATGAATCTGGTGTTTGGACCCTGGTAGACCTGATCCCGACTGGGTCAGGACCCAGTTTGTTTCAAATTCCGTCTGTGGATGGCTCTAAATACTACAATACCCATGAGCCTCAGCAAAGAAGAGCTGGAGAAGATGGCAATCAGCGAGGACCCGACTCGACTAAAAGACTAAAGTTTATTTTCTCGTTGGTTTGGACGTTTGGACTCAGCCAATCAGAATGAAGCTCTGTGATTGGGTGTTTGATGGTGAAAAGCACCCTGGGAGTCGTAGTTTTCCTTCCTTTGCTTTGTTGTTCAGGTTGAGACAACAGCCTGTTTCTATAAATCTGTCAATAAACAGCTTTTAGCAATCAGACTCTTGTCGTCAATCTGTTCAATCTAAAATCAATAAAGGTTCGGAGAGCGAAACCGAGCTCTTTTATTACCACGGTGATGATGCTACGAAGCAAACAAACAAACAAACAAACAAACAAACAAACAGACAGAGAAAACAATGAATCAAAATATGAATTAAAACTGATCTCGTTGTCATCGCAGAGATCTTTTCTGTGGAACGTTAAACGGGTCGGAGGTCAGACAAAGGTCAGAGGTCAGATAAAGGGCAGAGAAAGGTCAGAGGTCATCCAGAGGACCAACAGTGTGCAGCAGTGAAATAATAAAATGTTGAATGTGTCGGCAGGTCGGAGAAGAATCTGCAGCAGCTCAACGCGACTGACAGCGACGCCACAGAGAGGTCAGTGTGTCGTCAATACATCGATCAATTATCAATAATAAAAGACTGATGATCTGATCATATTCAGACACTGATGTTCTTCTGCAGGAGCAATAATGTCGTTCCACCGGTTGGATCTGCAGGGTGAGTAAAGGCTTTTATTGATCCAAGATTCAGCTGATCAATAGTCGTATTGATTACTCCTGATCACACTGATTCTATAATGATATGTTGTTCCATATTCAGGCTTAAAACTGATTTATTGATTTATATTGATTGATCTTGAAGGATTATGGGATTTGCTGCTCCTGCTGCCTGTCAGCTCAGTATTGATTGATGTAATGATTGATATATTGATTGATATATTGATGTATTGATCAATAGGATAGCAAATGCTGCTCCTGCTCCCTGTCAGCTCAGTATTTGCGCTCTGATGAATTTGGGTCACGAACTTCAGTCTGGAGGAGACGAACGAGCCGGACGATCGTCTTCGGATCCGTTCGGACACGGCTAGTGATGTCAGAAGACATGCCCACATCTGACCGACCAATCAGAGGCAGACGATCAGTCACTGTCCAATCAAAGAGGAAGAAAAAAGTCCAGTTTTCTATAAATGTTTAAAACATTTCTTCTTTTTAATTTCATGTTTTGCAAAAAAAAATTTGTTTTAGAATATTTTCTTTCTTTAAAAAAAGTGTCGGAATCATTTTATATGATCTATAGTTTGTATAATGTATATTTTATATGATTTATGAAGACTTGACCGTTTCTATAGCAACAGTTCCTGTCACATGTTGTTTAACTGTTAACAGATTGTTTTTATTTTCTTTAATCTTCCTGTTCGTTCAGCTGGAGTTAATCAGTAAAGTTGATTCTGATGATTGGCTCTAATTCTTCTTTCATTTATTCACATACAGTATATATGTGTGTGTGTGTGTGTGTGTGTGTGTGTGTGTAAATGTCCAATCAGGTGTTTTATTTTAATTCTAATTTTCTTTATTTTGTCAATTTTAATTTTCAGACATTTTTATTATTATTTCTTTTTTTAAAGCTTTTATTTTGGAGTTTCATTTTGGTTGTTATTGCTGAGTTTTATTATTACAGAGCAATCAGCTGCAGTGTTTGTCCTGTAGGTGGCGCCAGGTGAACAGAAAACAGTTAAACACAATCACTGATTCAGCAGTTCATCAATAAAACCTCTGATCCAAACAGGCTGTTTAATTAACAGTGTTAATTAATACAAATAATAAAAGTGTTGTTATTTTAACAGGTTCACATGAACTAAAATGATTCCAGTAAAACCAGTTTAATGTCCCAGTAACACATCAAACAGCTAAAGACACAGAAATATATGATAGAATATTGATATTAATATGTTTGTCTTTATTGATTGAAATAATTAATAATTAATTAGTAATAACTGCTGTATTGTATGTGTCCCTGTAATTGCTGGTTGGACCAATCAGAATCTCTCTTCTGACGGTATCTGGGTGAATCAGTCGTCTCAGCCAATCAGAGGCTGTTGAGTTGTCGGCTGGATCCTTAGCTGTGATCAGAGACTGATTTATAGGCTGTGGTTGGATTAATAAAGACCTTTTTCACAGCGGACATTTTGACAGGAAACCGTAGCTGCAGGAGGAAACTTTTATAAAAATATTTGCTGAGACTTTCACTGTGAATCAGGTTCCTCTGGTTCCTTTAGTGCTCCTGATGGTATCTGCAAGAATTCACCGGGCCGAGTGTGTCTTTCCAACTTTCTCAGATCTGATTGTTTTCGTTTGGTCGGTCTTCTCTCAGTTTTAGGAGACGAACGAGCTAATAAAAGAAATACAGTAAAAATCCAGATAAAAACAATAAAATATTATTACAACTTGTTGATCCGACTGATCGCAGCTGGAACTATTTTTTTATTCCGCTTTAGTCTTCATCCTGTCACTGTAGACCTCCGCCCAGATCAACAGTGGCGGGAGAATGTATTGACCTCTGCTGCTTTTGATTGGTTCGTATTATGCGTCTGATAACGTTAGCTGTTAGCAGTCTAATTGATTCGGTGAAACACAGAAGTTTGTGCGCTTTATTTTAGTTTTTGCAGCTACAGTATTTTTGTAAATCCACAGATATTTTCAGAGATATCTCTTCATGTTTTTGTATAACGGAGAAAGAAGCTGACGTCGTCATTTAAACTGCTGCCTGCTGTACAGGGACGCTCACTGATCCGCCTACTGGACCGTTTAACAATCTGATCCGAGAGAGTTTCTGTTCCCAAACCGTGACATCAAAGAAAAAGATACGACTGATCCGTCAGCTGGTTATTGTGGATCTCTGCAGGGCTTCTGGTTGAGGATGTTTCTGAGAATAACTTCATGTGTTTGATTGAGGCGCCGCGAGGAAGCAGCCTGTCTGCTGCCTGCACGGTGAATGTCACATTGACTCATCCCTATAATAAAGTTTGGTTCTGTCGGTTCCAACAGAATAAATGTCTGGTCTTTGTTCTCCGGATGGCAGCTGTTCAATCATGTCCTCACACCTCCCACAAACACACAAATAAATAAATAAAAAACGCCCTCACAAACAACTTTTTACGCACTGGATCATTTCTCATAGATTCTGTTCATACAGGACACGCTCAAATGGTACTGAATAGCTCTGACCTTTGACCCTCTCGAAGATTCAACCCTTTGAACACCAGTGTGATATACTGTGACGTAACTTAACGCAACTATGGATGTATAAAGAGAACTGGATATAGCGCTGGAGTTCGGTTTAGCTCCCGTTAACTTAAATGGAGATAAATAATTTAATCTTGCGGCGCAGGACAAAGGTCAATACGGCAGAAAGTCTGTCTGTCTCTTGGAAAATCAATAAACACATTGACTGTAATTGTAAAATCAGACATTTGTCTTCCAGCTTTTTCCCATAAAGACAAACATACTTGAGATTCTCTTGTAGTTTATAAATTGTATGTATTTTCTAGGCTTATTTTATTTAGACATTACATTAAACGAATGTTAAGAACTGTATCAGATTGTCTCAGACGGGAGGGATGAACACTGCTACTGAATATAATACAAAATATAATACTCAGTCGAGAGCTTCCTGAAGGAAGAGGTTGCCGTAGGTCACAGTGTGATTCGTACTGTACGTGTTCACTGATGACCAGTGAGTGTAATCGTGACTGACGTATTTAATCAGTCTGATATATATTGATCACAGTAGGACACGTACTGAACGTGGTTTATAGTGACGACTGTGATGTATTTAATATGTTTAATGCAGATGAGCTGATTCAGTCCATTAGAAAACAAATGAAATGTGTGACTGTGTGTGTGTGTGTAATTATAGATTCTATTATTGAAATGAGCCATCAGTTTTTTTTCTGGTTGTAAAACAGGATTGTAATAAAACAGTTTTATATTTCTTCAGACAGTTTTAATGCGGTTTAAATTGTCCATATGCAGATCCGTGATGAATAATGTATGAAACATACGTCCATCATGAATGAGGATAAAAGAAGGTTTTCTGCTGCGTCCTCTCACAAATGCTAATGACGAACAGCTCATTAACATGTGGAGTGTTCATTAGGAAGCTGAGTGAAGGTCTCGACCACCAACAACAGCGTGTTAGATAACTAATAATCAACTATACAGTCGGTACGAAGCATCGGGTCTTCTTTATGTCGACAGTTAATATATTGATTACCAAGTGTGTGTGTTTAATACACTCAATAAACATAAAGGAGAACACACACACTAAAACCTGACAACACGTCTTAATAAAGGAAGTAAATGAACATAAATTAATGAGTCACTCAATCCTGTTAATTAAACCCAACTTAAAAATGAATTGTTTGAATGACTCAGTTGTTTTATTCAACTTAAACATGTGTAGTATTTTAAGTATCTGTGATATAATTCCAGTTTGTTCCATTGACTCATTTTCTTTAAGTTAACTTTGTATTATTACAAAATATAAACGTTAATTACTGCTTATTTAAGGACAATTTCCCTTTTTTCACATAAAAAGATTAAAATACATTTTGCAAATCTATAATATTTACTGTTTATTTAATAGATTAAACTGTTAAATTCAAGTTTGATACTGTTAATTCATTTATAAAATTATGCAAAATTGGTGACAATTAACTGTAGAAAAAATATTTGTTGTGAAGTTTTACACATTAATACATACATATTAATTGTGTATAATTCTGACAAACAAAAATGCTGAATAAATGTTGTTTATCAGTGTATAAACACTGGTAAACTATCAGAATACAGTTTTAATCAGTGAAAACAGCAATAATTACTGTAATTTCACAGATAATTACTTTTATTACAGTTCTATAACTTTTTGCCTGTATTTATAGGTAATTTCATTGTTTTTACATGTGTAAATATCTTAACAATATAAAACTAAAGCTAAAAACTGTATTTAATGATAGGAAATTACTGTTATTTTCTGTTATTCTACAATTTTCTTCTTTACAATGCAGCTGATTATACACTAATTACCCATTAATATCTATTAATATTATATTACAGTAATGTTACACACTGGAGCTTTAGAGACAGAAATATGGTCTATACGGTCTGTTATCACTGATACTGCAGCTGCTCTGAT